GACCTCAACATTATTGAAGCAGTGTGGGATCATGTTGACAGAGAACAGAATAAAAGGCAGAAACATCCAAAGAAGAGCTTTGAATGTCCTTCAAGAAGCCTGGAGAACTATTCCTGAAGACGACTTAAAGAAATGACAAAAAAACTGCCTAAGAGAGTTCAGACTGTGCTGAAGAATAAAGGTGACCATAACAATTTAGACACAGTAATATAAAGAAACAACAAAAATGTAGATACATAGATATCTAAATGGACCGATGCCTTCAGTTGAGTATTTGTTTCTTTAATGAGTCCATTTATTTTTTGATTACAATTCTCGTTACAGAAGCGCAGTGCATGCCTATAAAACGTCCACCGAGGAAAAAAATCAAATCACAGAAACAAACAGTCCTGGTCCTCAGAACCCACACCTGATTATTTCTTGATTAGCACAACACACCTGACACCTGATCCAGCTAATCAGCCAAAGAAAGAAAAAACGAGACCTCTGCAGAGCTGGGATTTCTGCCAGGCTATGTTGGCTTTTTTATTTCCAGTCTTCAACTGTCCAGCTCTTTTGAGCCTGGTGCCCGCTACTGCCTCCGATTACTCTTGCTGGCTGACAGGAGTGGAACTCGGCAGTGTCTTCTGCCTTGTCTGCCTCAAGCTTTGACATGCTGGGCATTTCTGAGATGCTTTCCTGCTCACCACTGCTGTAAAGAGTGGTTTATCCAAGTTACCGTAACCTCTCTGTCAGCTCAAACCAGCCCGGACATTCCTCTCTGACCCCTCGAAAAAAGAACACCCAAAAAAACAAGGTGCTTCGGTTTGCAGAAGTGCCTCTCATTGGATGATTTTGGGCTTCAGAGTATTTGGAGTATATCCCAGGTTATTAGCCCTTTCTATAGAGGTTTATGTGACTTTATGCTATGTATCCTTATGTATGAGACAACTGAGAGGCTGGATGTAATATACAACATAATTTTTTACCTTAACCCTTTAATGCCAAGTATATCATATTTGATACATGGGTTTTTTTTTTAAATTTTTGAGACTGCTACATCATCAGTGTAGTTTTTAAGCAATAAAACTGAACAAAAATGTCATCTGTAGCAAAAATGAAGCTCCAAATTAAACCTGATTTACACAATGTGATATTTAATCTCCTTTTTTATTCGCCACAAGGTTCAATAAAGACTCCAGTTTAAAAAGATAAAAATTTTCTGGCAATAATTTCACGGTTCAAGCCTCAGAGGGTTAACTTTCATACGTTCCACAATGCGTGTCATGTATATTCTCTTTGTTTAACGTTTGCTGTGACATATTAGGTGTCATATTCGGTTTGAATTTCTCAGATCTTGGCTTAAATTTAACATAAAGTTCAGTTGCATGCATTTCTGATGATTCCCCATGCCTCTGCTCAGTCCTCCTGCCTTGGGGTGAACAACAGGAGCTGTCCACGCTGAAACCCTTCATGTAAGAGAGCGTATGAGCAGCAGGGGAGCTGTCCTCACCCGTGGTGCTGAAACACTCACGCCTGTACAAAGGAGCTAGAAGAAGGACCTTGGGGGGAGGGGGGAGATGAGGGGGATCGAGGGGCGGGGCATTGGAGGATTCAAAGGCATTAGTCCTACTTCATTGAGCTGGGTTCAAAGGTCAAAACCCTGGGGTCACACTGCAGCAGTGAGGGGACTGCTGCTGTTTGTTCCGCCTGTCCCCTGTGTGAAAGCAATCTGTTTTCAGGGGCTTCATCAAAAAGGCTCCACAGTATGTGAGGGAGGTGAAGAGAGAGGTGAGGGAGAGCGAGACAGAAGGAGGAAAACTCAAAACCAAAACCAAAACAAAAACAGGAAGTTAAGACGACAGAGGAATAAAGCGCCTGTTCACGAGGGAGGGAGACAGATAAGCAGAGATCAAAAATGGGGGAAAAAACGAGAAAGTGAGGACACGACGAGAGACAGACGGTGAATAGTAAAACAGAGAAAACACTGAAAGAAAGGGAGAACAGTGAAATGGCAGAGTGAGTGTGAGTGTTTCTTTCCTTTTTTTTTGCAAGTCAACACAGTGCAACAGCCTTCACACGTGTCCTTGATATGGAAATGCGGAGTCGGGCGCTCAGATCACGTTCTGACAGCATGCACTGGAGGCATCTTTCCCTCCTGTCTGACGCAGGAGGTGAGCACTCTGTTTAAAAAAGCTATGGCAGATAAGGAGAGAGAGGGGGAGTCCCAGAGCCCGGCGCCGTCCCCCAAATCCCTCATCCAGACAAGCTTGATCTCCATTCACAGACACAGAGTCAGCTCCATTATTCGTTTGAATAGAGAATCCGCACTCGGCCGTCCAAAGCCTATCACGTAGTTTCATCAGCCAAAAAAAAAAAAAGGCGTGATATAAACTGCAAAAGCGCATGGTCTTTTTTTTTAAAGGATGCCGGGAGGGCGAGAGTGCGGGAAAGCATTCAGATGGAGAGTAGTGCGTGCATGCACAATGAGATGATACATTTAAGGGAAAACAAAAATCAAATGGAGAACCTAATCCCTTCTAGAACCAGCAATACATAACAGGAATCTGGACTGAAACTTTAATCTTTCTATTACTTTAAATTACAGTAGGGGAATTACATATTCAGGCACCGATCACAACCGTCAGGTAATGGCATCGATCCACTGCTTTTGTCCTTTCGCCGTTCGGCCGATGCTCTCGTACGCGGTAACCTCCAAAAAACTGAGGTTAAACGTCCAGCTCAGGACACTCCACGGCTGCTAATATGTGAGCATGTGGGCGGAACCCGTGACCCGCTCTTAATCTGTGTAGCCCCTGGGCCAGAGGCATTTAAGATTTTATGTCTAATTACTTTTACACGTCCCCTCAGGGAATG